GGGGGGGGGGGGAATTTTCCGAGGGGGGGCATATTTCCTAGGAAACATGGCCCGGGGGTGCCATTGGCCCGGGACCAGGTTAACACCATGTGGAGTGCACTTCGGGAGCCAAATTTCCTATGACACCGATCTCATGTAAACATGTTGACAATTTCAATTTTCATTCCGATTTGACTTCGTCCCGGTCTCATGTAAACGGGGCCTTAGACAATAGCTTTTTGTTATATAGTTAGTGTCAAAGTTCAATTTTTCTGTTTGCCGATTTGTCAAAACCGTGTCACGTGCCGGTCCACAAAACGTCATGTTCGGCAACCGGTCCGAAATCAAACATTTATTGACCGGTCAATATTCCATTTATCCAGTTTTGGTTTCAAATTAAGTTCACTCCAATAACCGGTAAATTATTTATACTTTGACACCTATATACTATATAACAAAACACTTATTTACTGAGACCTCGGGAGAGCAGTCTCGGGTCCACAAAACACACTGTTTCCCTCTGTCTCAGTAAATAAGTGATAAATATGCCATTCCCATTCAACGGTGGAAAAATGCGATTTCGACAAGCATTTTTAAATTGAATCGTATTTAGCTATTTTTAATCGCAATGATATACAAGAAAGGTAGCATTCGACATCGTTGCACATGAGCAATTCTATTGAATTTTCCCACTTTTCAGCAAGTACAATTGACTTCTACTCACTGGTGAAGCGAATTTCTTTTCTCACGAAGCCTAATTTATCTTTACTGCGCATGTACCAAATTCATTTCGCGTTTCTCCGAAGAAAGTGTCCGTGGAAACAGGTTTTTAAAGCCTGATCTTTATTGCTATTTGTAAAATTAATGAATAACTAATAAGGCTACAAACAAATCACGACGCGGTATTTCGGTCACATGTGCACACTTGTACACCGCATCTAAGCCCCGCGTTTACATGCACTTGCAATTTTTGCTGCGATTTCGAGTGCGATTTTCTTCTTCTGAGTGCATGTGGTCCACTCCTTCACATCCAAGCAAAGAAGAAAATCGCGTATATAATGCACAATAACATGCCAAATTTGGATTATCTTTTTTATACACCCTGCATAAGTGAACCCATGTGCTTTTTGGAGACGATCGAATTTTTTCGCCAACCAATAATACATTGTAGCCTCCTGTGACAAGCGTCTTCCCACTAATAATCAGGCACATGAGACTATTATTACATCGCCGATTTTCTATAAATACATTTTTGACTGTTTTAAGACACGAGGAAGAGCATATAATAACAAGAGGAAATTAGAACAGATCCTATACTTTTTTAACAAATTAAAACACGTGTTACGAAAGTATATCTAAATAGTATAAAAATAGTTCAGTTTGCACCGCAGGTAATTATAGATATTAGTTACGTCAAATGGAGAGATAATGAGCACTTTTGCTGTAAAACGCAGATAAAGTATATATCATTTCGAACTTGTGTAAAAGTGTCAATTATCTGTCCATTAGGCAAGATAAATGATTTGTCAAACTGTCAAAGTTGGACGATAACCTTGCATGGTGGGCTGTTGTGTTTACATAATTCAAAGTCCAAGGCTGGTTCTTCTTTGACATGAAAATGTGCATGCTTAGGGCATTTCTGTCAATCATTCTTTGGTATATTTAGCGCGGTTGAGTAATGATAACATTACGTCATCAAAATCTTGATTCAATAAAATTGTAAGTAAATTTAGGTTTAGTAGGTAAAGTAAGGTTCACATAGGTATAGTTGAAGTTTTTACTATGATATTTTGATGAGTATTTTAAGTTGTGAACATATTTTAACATTGATCGATTGAACAGCGAACCAACTCGACAAGTGCGACAACGCCTTAAATAAACAGAATGTGAGAGCTGGAACGAGCTAGCAACGCCAACCCACACTTTTAAAACTCAACGTTGATTTGCTGGATACAAATCACACCACTTGCTACATCACATGGACAAAGATCCCTCAACCGTTAGTATAAAAGGGCGTGCACAACCGAAATTCGTCAGTGGATGATCTCTCAGTGGACCCTCAGTGGACTGATCAGTAAAGTGAAGCAAAGTGAAGACTGATGAGTAAAGTGAAATGAAGTGAACTTTAGGAAACTACTACAAGAAGACGAACAATAAGAACTGATAGTTATTTAAGATTCTTGTAAAGATTCACTACCTAAATAAAGCTTCGTAACACACGGTATAAAATATTGAAAATTTGTAGACTAACTTCGTATTGGTAATTGGTCTCTCAAGATGACATGGTCAAAAGGAAATGTTCGATATTTAGATGAATGTCATAATATTTAGCAGTTATTAATTACTTACAATATCAAACAATAATTAAATAATATTTACTTTAAGGGTACCAATTGTGCATAATACAATTCAACTTTTAATTTGTACATACATTTAAACGTCTAATAATTAGGCCTGATCATATTTGACAGGATGATTCAACAACTCCTAGCTGGTCATCGGTCCTAGTTGGCTGCTGTTTTCTAACTAGTTACTGATCTCATGATGATTATTTAGCAGACTGGCCATGATTGGTTCGCTGGCTACGCTGGATATGTCGAGGAGGCATGAGGAGTTGATGGGTTTCCAGATTGCTTTGCTGTCCCTGCAATATTTACGTCGTACGAACCACGACGTTTACGAAAAATAGACCTAATGAACGATGGCAGTCGTTCACTGAGTGACTGTTTTACCCGCAACCTTAAACATAACAAGAAAATTTGTTAGTCAGTTTTTTTCATTTCAGTTAGTACCCTAGTATCGGAAGTAATTGAATTTGGCATTACTACAGTTATATACTTACCAAGAATGTTTTGCGACTTTCTTAATAGTTGGTCGGTTCTTGGGATTCATCGCAAGTAATTCCGTGAGAAGGTTTTTCACTGCTGCAAATAAATGGTGTAAACACATTAATTAATTCTGGTCATTTGGATGTTACTTGCGGTCGGCGACGCAATTTTCAGTTTCGTAAACAGCAGGGTCACCAGCAGGGCCGTAGCTAGCATGTATAGTTGGGGGGGGGGGGGCAAAAATTCCAAATGACAAAACAAATTTCCGAATATTTCATGGTATATGAAGCCACGAAGGTGTTTGCTATCCGGAAAATGAAGATGCAATTTACAAACAAAAATACACATAGTTTACGCAACGACATATTACAGAAGCATGCAGTGCCGTAGGAAGCTAGCTCTTTTTTATTGGGGGCTGGGAACGAGGGCCGAAGGCCCGAGGAAATTTTTAAATTTAGATTCTCTAAAATGCCATTTCCTGGACTTTGGGGAAGTTTTGACAGAATTATGATGGTCAGAAAACAGAGTTTTCCCCGAGCCGACGGCGCGAAGCGCCGTGCGAGAGTACTAATTCCCCCCGGCTATTTACACCCGGGGAAACGAAAGCATTAGCGGAGTCAAAAGTTCATCAAATATCGCGGGCGTGGGTGACCAACCGTGGGTGGTCATCCTCACTGATCTCAGATATATGGCGGACTGTCATGAATAGCGGACACTGATTGGTCCAATTTAAAATTTGCATTATAACGACTGCATGACGACAGCGAAATAGCAAACATTTCTTGATTTGATGATTGATGAGTTTTTTGCTCGCATTTTTGCAAGATTTTGTAAATTTCAAAAGTTTTCTCATAAAGAAAGGGCGAAAGAATCGGATAAAAGAAGGGAGCCGACGTTAACGAAGGTAAGTTTGTTTTAAATATTGATTTTATAATGGTTTAAAACCCGACGGCCTTTGCGTATATGAAACAACTAAACAAGACAGCATATAATATCAGTGTATCTTTAATATTGATTCCCTTTTTTATTATATTGAATTTTTTAAATAAATAAAAAAGAAAGCAAAGTTATTTGCAAGCGAGAATTTGAAATCATTTTATTGCAAACTCAAAGTTTATCGATAATGCCATTTAATTATAAAAGGCTGTTTAGTTTTATAAAGAACACTTTAAAAAGTTTTGCGAAGCGTTTGTGGTTGAATTTTATCTTAAATTGAAGCCTATATTACGTATAATAACATACCTAACATATATATGTTGGGAAATTGATAATGTAAGAATATTCTTAAAAAATTATCGTGTTACCATGACAACTGCTCTAGATACTTTATGTTCGGAAAATACAATGGTTTTGTCAGCAAGGCGAGGGTTTCTGCATGCATGTATTTTCTAGTAGTATGATATTTGTGATGTTACTCTGAGTATGCATCCACAGCGGACAAGCTGAAAAGTTTGCTTGGCCACGGTGGGAGTCGAACCCGCGACCTTTGCAATTGGGATACTAGTCCAATGCTCTGCCAACTGAGTGTTGTTGATAGAGTTTTAGTATGTCGAAATTTACAATTTACTTACAATTTAGTAGAACTAAACAGTGGGCGAAGGCGTATTTAATTAACTATATATTGCAGGAAAGAGTATGGGTATTACCGTAATATGATTTATTGCGGTTTGTCATGGATAATGTAGCCGCTTAAAATTAATGGCAATAGACCTTTCCCCTTATGAGTCAAATTTTGATCTAGACAAGCCTGCACAAAAATTTCATCACAGCTTGAAAGAGCATCACAACTAACTAGTAATATTCCGAAGTTTCGTTGCAAAATGTTGTAAAATGCGCATAATATAGCCTTGCGAAATTTGCCGTTTTTCAAGTCATTGTATTACAAATGGGAAGACGTCATGGGCGTACCGGAAGGAAAAATTTAAGGGTGGCGGAAAGAAAATTGGCCGACTTTTCGGGATTCTGCCCGACTAGTACCAAAAACTTTTTTCCGGAAAAATTATTTTGGCGACCTCCCCCCCCCGTCAGTGTACCATTTTAGGGGTCAAAAAAATTTTCCGGGCAACCAATATTTTTCGGAACATAACACAAATTTTCGAAAAGTCACACAATTTTCGAAAAAATTGACTTAATTTTACACAAAATTTAATGTATTTGTCCCATTTTTTTTTGGCAAACCAAAATTGCCCGACTGTTGATCGAATATTGCCCGACTGCCCAAAAAACTGGGGGGGCTACCGCCCCCCCCCCGCCCGGTACGCCTATGTGGGAAGTTGATAATCAGTTTGACCTGATTATCAATTTCCCGTTTGTAATGCGGAATATTACTAATTTTGTGATGCTCTTTCAAGCTGTCGGATGAAATTTTTGTCCAGACTTAGGCCAAATAAAAAAAATACTTGGTTAGCGTCACCGCCCGCCTCTCGATTTTCTGCCGCCTATGAATTTTTTTTAATTTTTTTTTTATGTAAATCTCTTCGTTTTACAGCTTAAAACAGTTTAATATTTGAAATTTTTATCATGCTCAGACCTTCGCGTTATATACTGATCGTTAGGAGCGCGTAGGCTTGGGTATACAAGGTTCTTAAAGCAAAATGGCGGACTTCGCAAGATCAGTACAAAAAATATCACCGATATGGTGGAAAAACCGCCCCCATCCCCTCCAAAAATACTATTAAAAAATTAAAAAACGAGTAAAAATTAAAAAAAAAATCCGCCCGCCCGCCTCTGAAAATTTGTGAGAGTGTGACGCTAACCAAGTATTTTTTTTTATTTGGCCTTATCTAGATCAAAATTTTACTCAAAAGGGGAAAGGTCTGTTGTAGAGGTATGCAAATCCGATCCGAAACCGTTCCGAAACCGATCCGATTCGTTCGGATTTCGGAACCAAAATATTGATTTCGGATCGGATCGGATTGATAAAGTTGTTTCGCAGTCCGATCAGATCGGACTTCGATATCCATGTATTTATCAAAATATCGTCGCGGTTGTCGCTGCATTATTCGTTTGATACTTCCAATTGGACATCACTTTGTCAGCTTCTTGACATGTATTTCTTGACATGGATTATCAGCAAATTATTGTAAGGGCTGCTGCCCCTGGCAGTCACCCCCCTCCCCCCGACTGCTACGTACGGCCCTGAGAAGTAATAAACCGAAAAACATTTACCGATGTACGATTTGTTTTACGTTATCCATATCAGTTTATACCAATTGGTTTATATTGACAATACTATTTTATAATATTTTCTCTGTTTAAACAACTAAAATTTTGCTATACTATTATTGCCGTGATTTTCCGAATGGCCAACCCGATTTTCCGAATATGTTAATTCTAAATTTTCCGAATATGTTAAACACCCCCCCCCCCCCCCCCCCCCCCCC